CCTCCTCTCCGAGTTCACGACCTTGCAGGTTCCTGATTCGAGCAAGCCCTACACACTTTATACAGATGCCTCGGGATATGCTATTGGCGCTGTGTTAGAACAGGAAGGCAAGCCGGTGGGATTCCTCAGCCAGGTTATGAGCCCAGCTCAACAGAAGTACTCCATATACGATCAGGAACTCCTGGCACTCATACCAGCCCTGGATAAATGGCGCCTTCTTCTCCGAGGCGCCAAGGTCACTGCCTACACCGACCATCAGGCTCTCACGTACCTCCAACGTACCAATATGCAGAATCCCTTACGCGGACGCACGGCGAGATGGTTAGACTTCCTGGCAGAGCAGAGTTGACCATCACCTATCTGCAAGGCGCAGATCACAAGGTCGGGGACGCGCTCTCCCGCCATCCGCAGCACACGCACGTGACTTCGATTTCACCTCCAACGACCTCGCCGCTCTTAGCTCATCGCAGCAGGGAAGCCCGCCTCCGACTTCCCGATATTTCACCCGCTCCACTACTGGGAACGCACCCAGCATCAACTTCCGTGCAATAGCAGGAGTACGCTCGTCCTGTACGGGGAAGAGGACGGCTTCGTCCTCTTCAGCAGACCCGATAGTCTCGATCCCCGCTGCATCCTCGGAAGTGACATCGGCAGAGCAGCAATTTCCACCTTCCACTAAACCAGGCGATCGCACTACACCTGCAGTCTCACCCTCCTCACCGCCCTACGATCAGCCCGCCTCACTCGTGACAGCGGAACTCGCCTCGGGATCGCCGTCAGCGCAGGAATATCTGTCGCCGCAACGTTGGGAAGGCGCATTTCTACGCTGCCCCCACGTTCGAGAAATCTTCTTGGCTGCAGCACATCAAAACGAAGAAGAGTTTCTCCATCAGCTACAGGGTCGCAGATATACTTTTAAGTTTTGTCGCCCTTACCTATACATCTGCGTACATGGCCTCTGGCGCATCTGTCCTCCTACACTGCCGGAATTCCTATCCCATCTTCTTTATCGACACCACGACCACGTTAGCGCTGGACAACGTGGCGAACGGAAGACGTTTCTATCTCTCAGTAAGCTGTACTACTGGCCAGGAATGAGGGCGTACACAGCTGCGTATGTCGAGTCTTGTGTGCAGTGTCGCGCATCTAAGGCGCTATCGCAGAAGCCGGCAGGTCTTCTTCAACCGCTCCTCGTTCATTCGCGCCGCTGGAGCCAAGTTAGCCTTGATTTTATAACAGAACTGCCCCTCACCCCCCGTGGACATGATTGCATTCTCGTTATCGTTGATTCGCTCAGCAAAATGGCACACATCATTCCCACGAAGAAGTCTGCATCCACAGCGGATACCATCGAACTCTTTGCCCAGAGACTAATTAGATATCATGGATTCCCGGATGTCTTGATTTCCGACCGTGATCCCCGGTTTCAATCCCAGCTATGGCAGCAGCATTGTCAGCGATTTCGCATCAAGCGCGCAATGTCTTCTCCTTATCATCGGCAATCCGACGGTCAGACGGAGAGGGTCAATCGCACGTTGGAGCAAATGCTCCCCACGTACATTCAGACGGACGAACGTGAATGGGAGCGCCTGCTACCAGCGCTCGAGCTCGCTTACAACACCACCAGTCATTCCTCCACAGAGCTCAGTCCCTTCGAAGTTATGATCTGTCAGAATCCTGTCACAGCAGCAGACCTTAATGTCGTTGGTAATCTCGCGCCCACCCTGACCCCGCCTATGACCAAACTGTTCCAGCAGCTGTGTGACCGGGCCCAGAGTCATATTATTAAGGAGAAGTGGCAGCAGAAACGCTATGCAGAAGCTCACCGACGAGATGCGCAATACAACCCAGGCGATCGGGTCTGGATAAGCAGCCGTAATCTTCCGGGGC